ACCTAGGTTTATAAATTCACCAATTTATTATTTGAGTTCTTGTACTTTTTAAATCTGCTGAGCAGTACTTTGATAAATTAGAGTGAGATCAATTTATTTTCAAGTAAAATAGATCCCTTGTACACTTCATCATTTCAGTTTCTTTACTACCAACAGGCCAAAATGGAAGCTGACATTAACCGTATAATAAATGCAGTTAGAGATGACTCGAACCATTTAATTCATTCTCTGTCAATGTTATACGACGGTGAACATTTTATCATGAATTTTGAACCAGGTTACTGCTTGGACATTAAATTATCGGTAATATATGAATATTTTAAATAATATGTAACATTTATCTGCTTGTAGAAGGATCCAGATGAACCGATAAGAACGAGTTTATCAATCAGGGGAATAACGGCAGTAATTATTGGTGATTCCGGGTCTTGTCTCGATTCGATTATTCACCACTTCATGCTTGTCGCTTATGCTTTCACTGCCAAAATGGCACTTTTTTTCCCGCAGTCATTTTACGACTTGGATCCAGCATTTTATATTTTACTTGAAAAAAGTACTCATACTACAATAATGCAGCCATTATCGTGGGATTATTTCTAGCTATAGTTTCTTATACAAATCTGATCGATCACAAGAAAATATTTGCTTTCTCTGCTTGTAAATATGATAAATACTTGAATTTTATGCTAATAGTTCTAATTTCGTGGTGTTTCCAAATTAGTGAATATCAGCTTGGTTAGCTAGCGAAATCCATTTTAATTTACGAAATAAACAGAAGGAAAATTAAATAAAATTGAATGAATTAAAAAGAAAAATCTTACGATTTTTCCAATTTGTATTATTTTAGCTGCAGATAGAAAAGAAATCTGGGCAAAAACAGAGAAAATAAGGGTCAACTAAAAAGCCGTGCAGAACGAAAGTTATTAATTTAATGAAAATAATGTGCACTTGAATAATTTATTCAAATGCATTCATCCAAATCATACGAAATTCGGGTCGGAAGTCCAGCTTTATTATTCTCAAAGAGGTTAAAAAAGCGTTTGTGCAGAAATTACACAATAAACATGCATATATTAAACTCTGTGCAATGTCTTAACTATAAAATGCGCGACGCTCTATATTCATTTTCTTAAAATAATTATTTATGTGGCAAAATATTTATTATGGAAATCAATTAACTTAATGTTTTGTTTTACTAGCTAAATTAATTGAACTCTTTTAGGACCTTGTTAACCAACCTTTTTGTAATAGTCCGGTGAATATGTCCTCTACCCATGTTCGTTTTCAGTCTGAAAATGCGTTCGACGCTCTACAGCAGGCTGCTGGTATATCAATGAATCAAAAACCACAGTCGCATTTGCATTATACTTGCCAATTGGATATTGATCAGGTCGCTAATAATACAAGGCAAACCGCTATTGTGTGTACCCTTGGTAATATCTATTTTAATAATTATTTGTTTAGGAAAATCATGGAAAACGAAAGAAGGAATTCTTAAAATGCTTCAAGCTGGGATGAATATTCTATCCATTAATCTTAGCATGACTCCTAGAGAAATATGCAAGGAGGTCATTCAATTTGTCCGAGAAATTGAGAAGGAATCAAACTACACGCGGATTATTGGAATCGCTATGGATATGACAGCTGCTCCTGTGAGAACTGGAATATTCGAAGGGGTATTTGAACAAGTTGTTTTTTACTTCTTTTGATACTAGGGTCCTTCCTATGAAGCCAATCTCAAGGAAGGAAGCCGTGTGACTCTTACTCTTGACGATAGTTATAAATTTAAATGTACTCCGGAAATGATTTTTATCAACACAAAGTATTTCCCTCAATTGATTCTCAGTCTTCATAAGGGAGATCGTATTTACCTTGATGATGGCCAAGTTACACTTATTGTAAAGGATGTCGGCCTGGATTGTCTGAATTGCATGGTTGAAGAGGGAGGAATAATCGGTGGTTACAAACGAGTCACTCTTCCGAGAGATCGTCTTTATCAAGAATCCGTTCAACAAAAATACCAACAGGACTTGCAGTTTGCTGCTTCATGTGAAGTTGATTTTGTTTTTACAAGCTTTGCTGAGAACAGTAAAATGATCCAGCTTGCTCGTGATCAGCTACCTAGTAGTACCAAGGTTTTCGCCAAGTTGGAAACTCGGGAATCCATCAAAAAGTAGAAAACTCTAGCTTTATTAATATACGCTTTCATTTTAGCCTGCATGATTTAATTAAAGCTTCTGACGGTTTGGTTGTTCGTCGTAGTGACTTGGCTATGCAGTATACACCAGAGAAGATCTTTAAACTTCAAAAATACATCGTCGCTCACTGCAATATTGCCGAGAAACCTGTTTTCATTATTGAACAACTATTGGAATCGATGGTTTCTAAACCACGTCCAACTCGAGCCGAATCCTCTGACATTGCTAATGCCGTTTTAGACGGTGCTGATGGTTTGATTCTTACTATGGAAACTTCGTGGGGAATGTACGCTCTGGAATCCGTTCGTGTTGTTGATCAAGTAAGTGCAGTTCTTTATGTGTTCTTATCACTATCTTTGGCTTAGATTAGTCGCGAAGCTGAGCGTGCTGTGTTTCATTATGAAACCCGAGGACAATTGAAGCAGGCCCGAATGAAATTGGAACAAGGTGCTTTAGACATTCGTCACGTCACAGGCAGCTCAGCTGTTGAGGCTGCTGCCAGCTGTAATGCTTCAGCAATTTTCGTTATTACCAATTCTGGAGCGTAAGCCATAGTTTTATTCTTATTGTCGCTTTTTATTTAGATCCGCTATGTCTATTGCAATGCTGCGTCCTCCTTGTTCTGTAATTGCCATCACAACCAATGTGTGTGTAGCTCGTCATTGTCTTGTGTATCGTGGTCTTCATTCATACCTCTATGCAGGTAAGTGTATTCCTCCCAGCTTACTGTTTTTAAGCATCGTCAGTTGTACACACGAAGTTCATATCTTTTAGAGGAGAGTACTGGTGATTGGGCGATAGATATTGATAATCAAATCAATGCTGCTATTGAATACGCCCGCAATGTTGGCCTAGTGATTGGTGGAGATCGTATCGTTGTTGTGACTGGATCACTCGCTTCTACGGGTAGCACAAACACCATGCAGATTTTCACATTAGACGATGAGCACTCTAAACTGCGTGTTGTGGGTTCGTCCAAGGATACTAATGAGAGCTTTAATGCGAGATTGGCTAATCTCTCAATGGGTGCAAGGAGCACTGATGATAATGAGAATGACGAAATTGATGAAGTTGAAGAAATGCAGTTGATACGAGATGCACGAAACCGTCGTCCACGCTTCTCTGTCATGTTGAGCAGCAGGAAAACTAGCTCTGGAGCTGGTGTTGGTGATATTCGTGTACCTTTGTGAAAATCACGCATTTGTACCTCTATTTATTCACTCTTTCCCCTTCCTTCATATCTATATTCGTTGAAGCACCTTTAGCAGATGTGCAAGCTTAAATTAATCTCATTCTCACGTTATTACCAATAATTTATTCTCGATTGATGACCTTGATAAGTGTCCAGTTCTAATCGATCAATTTCTTTCTCTATCTTCACCTAAATCTTTGCTTTTTCCTTACCTTCGTAATTTTATCGCGTTATGCCCTTGCCTATCAGCATCGTGAAGATTTAAATTATTTATTAAAAAGTGCAATCACATTTTTGGTTTCTTTCTTTGAATTGGTATTATGATTGGTATTTGTGTATTTATGACAAATAGCTTCGCTTGTATAGACTCCAGTAAAGTTCAAGTGGGTTATGTAATTATTCACGTCAGATATTATCAAAGCTTGCTAGTTAGTATTATCTCTTGTCATTATTGGTCTTCCGCGTAGGAATCCAGCAAATGAGACCTCTCTGACTCGGAGCGGGTTTTACAAATTCCAGCAGTTGGTAAGTCCTATGCTGGAGCGATCTTCTAGTGATTCACGAGTTTGATTAAACCAGCTCACAAAGCTGGTGCCGTTGGTTTCACTCGCTCTGACAATCAGCGGAGTTTTATCTTTGTATTTATGCTCATGAAAAAATTATTAAATTGTCTTAATGGTACCGCGCTTTGGTATTTCTACTACTAAATTCCTGCGGTCTTGAGTCGGTTTCGACCGAGGCACAATTATGGACATCCAGTTAGTGTAGGGTTTATAATAATTTTCCTATTATTACTTTAACTATTAGCGCTTAACGGCTACACCTCTCTCTCTCTCTCACTGCTAGTTTAAGGGAAAACTCGGGATCCATTTCAATCTTAACTCTCCTTGAGAGATGACTTGACATTATGAGCAGGGAAACAATTGGACCTTCTATTCAGTTCTTACCAAATTTTCAGTGTTTATTTTTTCTCTCACTGTCCTATTAATAGGTAGGGGGAGCCAATCAGGATCTATTGACAGTGGGTACTAGCATTTCCACTAGTCCACCAAACAGCTCAGCATTTTTGGAACTTCAGTTGGAAGTATTGTAATTGTGTGCATTCAATTTTGAAATGGCCTGACTTCTCTCGAAAACCATGTAATGCTGGTCCATGGAATTCTCACCGTCCTCTGAACGCATTTTCGCTGGTCTCGCGAATTGATAAGATTAGTTTATTTTGCCTCAACTCTTAGCGATGGGCCAAAGTCATGAGAAATAGGCTATAAAACCACACTCCCTCTACAAAACACAACTGAGCGTTTAGTTCCACTCAAGTAGTCCAAATCCAGAATACAGAGAGTGACAATCAAACACATGTGCTGAACGGATGTTTGGAGTTAGTATCTAAATCTTGGATATAACTGAACCAGCAAGAAGCCTTAGTTTAATTGCTCTTTTTAAAAAGGACTTACTCTTGTGAAAATTTTATTTCTTTTAATATTAACTAAGCCGTAAATCTTACCTCATTTTAGTAAGGCAACTTCAATTGAGAGGCTCCGCAAGAGATTGGTATGATAAGACCGGCGAATCATTGTCACTCTGAACTTAATAATAAGTTTAGTTAAAAAAAGCAACAAATTTGCTCCCAGGTCATTTTATCTAGTGTGGAGTGGACGATAAATTTACCTCCACATGGTACACCCTGGACAACGTATACTTAAAAATGTCTATAAACCGACAATTGACTACTGACTTCAAACTGCCATGATCCCACTGTATGTCATATTCGACTACTTCCACAGTACTCGCCTCACCTTTCATCTACCTTCGTGTTTGTCTCTTACATCTTTGAAACACACTTCTGTTCTCCCCCCCCCCCTCTCTACTTCTTTTCACTTTGATGTTCCTCCTCCTCTCTGTGAAGCCTGAAGTCAACTAAACGGCCACCCTGTGTAATTCCAGTAATTCCACTACTGAATGCTGACTATTTAAAATTACTTCTGATCGGGAGGTGGTTATTGATAAGTATGCCTGTTGGAGATCTAAAACTTGAGATTCGACTTCAACTTGCTCAATCGGTACAATCAACACCAAACTCATTTGCTTCTTTAACAAATATGAAAATATAGTTTGCCTCAGTGCTCTGTCTTTTAGGAGAATGTGGAAGGAAAAGTTTACAATTAACCTTTTCAATGTGAAAAAAGACAATCAATTAATTAATTATTTAAATAGTGGAAAAGAGCCTTCACCCAACTATTGATTTGTTTCAAATGAAACTGTTCAGTGGGAGCAGATTCTGCAATTTTGGTATTGAAGAAGTGGGAACAAATATTACCAAGTCCACACCAGAACGATTGCATTTCCTTTCAAGACTGTGCTACTAATTCATTTTTTATATCAAATGACAGGCTTTATGATAGGTTTCATGGGGTGTGCGATAGACTTACCTCAACTTGGTGCACCCTGGGCAACGTATACTCATACGGCAAAAAAGTCTATTAACCGGCAGTTGACTTCTGACTTTAAACTACC